GCGAAAATTAGTTCAATTAGATTAAAAAGGAATTTCAGAAAAGTTGCAAATAATCCATTACAGTTTGCTTCTAAATATGAATTGCACTTCATCAAGGGGGCTTTGCAAAAAATTAGACAAAACTTCAAGAATAGTTTTTTGCTGATTTATCCATGATAAACATATGTGAATTATACAATAACATAACCAATAATCACAAAAAGCACACAATAATAGTAAAAAGAAAAACAAAACAAAAAAAAAGTCAGGTACCTTTCAAGTGAAAGCCCCCATGCTATGACCTGAACATCTTCCGGAAGCCCCATGGGAAGCAGCATTTCTGGTCTAAACATGCCCGAGTTTCCAACTTCGACCCATTTCTGCAAACCTTCATGATAACTGATGGAAAAATAAAATAAAATAAAATTAAATTAAATCAATCAACCTATTAGCCTGGTATAATAAAATGGTAAATCTTTCCAGTGAGAAGCCATAAATAATTAATTACCTGAAGATTTCCATGCTGGGCTCGGTGTAAGGATTGTAGGCGGGCTTGAACTTAATTTTGGACATTCCTTAAAAACAAGAAATTACATCATATTCAGTAATTGAACGAGTAATATATAATGTAAATCAATGAAGAAAAAAAAAAGTGAAAAAACCACCCAGAACTTCCCTACGGACTAAAAGGTAATAAGAAATCAGCTAACACGCGGAAACACTTTTCGAAAACACCACTTGGAAAAATAGTATATATTTACCTAGACGAGAGAAGAAGTCGTTAAGAACTCCTATTAAGTGTCCAAGAGTAAGATTCCGATCACAAATTAACCCTAACAATCATATAGAAGGTTAGTATCCTCAAAGCATAGAAAATAATAACATAAGAATTATCATTAAAAATAATAAGGCGTGTCTGGTAAACCATGAAAGAGAGAAAATGAATTGCCGTGAAGGGTAAAATTGTAAAATACCTTCTATCTGGTGGAATTCGGCTAGATGAGTTCTGTCCACAGCTTCGTTTCTAAAGACACGATCAATTGAATAGTATCTTTTGGGAGTGAAAGGTCCCTGGTGAAGAAAAATAATTCAGAAGTGAGATTTGATGAGATTTTTTTTATCAATAACATGAGTTGCAACTTTTTTTTAGATATTTTCCAAGAAGGATACGTAAATTCGATTCATTCCAAACTTTTCTACAGATTTGTCTACCAGAAGTTCTTTTGTTTTTTTGGATTTTGGCAGGAAAATGTTTTCTTAAATATTCCATTCTGTTCATTTTGAGTTTTTTTTTTTTTCTATTTTTTTTTTCTTTTATAACCTGAGCAAGTGCATAAAGCATCCTGGACGAAACAGCAGTAGTGTGTGTCCGCAGAAGATTCTTATCTGCTTCCTCTCTCTTCCAATCATACCCATAACTGACACGAGCAGAAAAAACTAGTAACTGAACTGAAGAATTTCACTAATTATGTGTATATATATAGTTAACAGTGCCATACCCTCTCGATCCATAACCCCCAGATTCGTGAACTCGTTTAACTCGCTCAACATAGTCTTCAGGAAGACTTCTTGTGGATGAAGGCTCTGTGAAGTATCAATGTAATGGGAACTGATGAGAACGCAATCATCAAAGAGTATAGTTACAAAATGAAGTGTGAAAAAAATAAATAAATAAATAAACCTTTTAAGAAGAATGTGTCGTGTGAATCACGAGCTGGATGCTNGTAGTTTTGGGCCAAGTATCAAAAGAAAATATATACCTGCTTTCAACAAAATTATTTGTAGGCATTTCTTCGAACCTACATGCCACAAGCAAAAAAAAAAATCAGAAATTTTGGACCCTTGTGAAGATGTTCCAGTAATTGTATGTATCTAAATCTGAGCATGCTACAACTTACCCCATTTGAAGAAATATCATCTGAATTTGGCGCCTAACCTTCATGATGTAAAATCAAAATGTAACCGGTATATATACTTATAATATCCATTTTTATGCAAACTAAGGGTGTGATTGGATATAAACTTGACCAATCAAAACTCAAATTGAACTCAACTTTAACCCAACCCACACTATCCTCAATATTATCAATATAATTAAATAATATCAACCAATCATTCTTACACACCACATCAACTTTAATTCACCTATTCATACACTCACAATAATTTTAACTAACCATCATTTCAAATCATTTTTCTTTCAATTTTACATCAATCAATTTTAACTATTTTATTTTAAATAATATTTTATTTGTCCATTGCAAATGGAGCTAGAAGAGTCATTGTTGACAATTCTCCTGGCATAGTGCTAATAATGGACTAGATCAAAATGGCTCAATTAAATTCTAGTGCTTCTTCTATTAGTGAAGTTTCGAGAAAAAAAAAAATATATCAAACGGCGCAATGCACCTTAGGTCGCTACGGAAACAGCCTCCTTGTATAATTACAAGGGTAAGGTCTGCGTACAACTGACCCCCAGACCCCAACCTGTTGGGAATATACTGGGTATGTTGTTGTTGTTGTTGGTGTTGTTGTATTTTAAATAATATTTTAATTTACACTTAAATTCTCACTAACAACTAATCATACCACATTTTTTAGAATTAACTATGGTTAACAAAAAAACCAATCAAAAAACGGTTAAATCCATATCCAATCACACCCTCTAAGTCCATATCCAATCACACCCTCTAAGTATCTACAGATGACCACATCACATTCACCAAAAATGGCATTATCACAAGCCAGTGAGTTCAGATAAAGATAGTCATGCCTTGAGCAACGGATGTAAACAGCCACCTTCTGTTGGCTGGCCCTTTGCAAGGAAGTTATACTCTTTGAACTCAATATCCTTCCAATCACCCCTTCAAACAAAACATGAGATTTAAACATCAGAAAAATTAACAAGATGGAAGGATTTGATTTTAGCACCTAAAATAATATCCTCATGTTGTGATGTTATCTCTTTGAGATCATTAACAGAACTAATATAGCAATTGGCATTTCAAGTCTTTTATTTATCAAATATTACTTGCACTCAAAGCATATTTCCACCCCCAATCCACCTCCAATGGACACATTCAGGATGTTATAGTAGCAGTAACATTATTTATCTAATTATATTGTAAAAGAAGTAGCATTAAGCCGTATAAGATTATATCGGTATATAAGTCCTTAATCCTTATAAACAATAATACTATGAAAGAACTTAGAACTATTAGCCGATAAATAACTATGAACTGCTATATACCTTGTGCCCATATCACATCTTTAAACCCCAAAGAAAAAATCCAAGTCCATGGTTACCTCTGTAAATTTTCGCGAGCCAAATCAGTAGCCTCCTTTTTCCTTTTAGGAGCATACTTGGGACCTTTCTTTATTGAATAGCCTTTCCAAATCCTTGTATTTAAAACAAAACAAGTTAAATCATAAATTTGAGACCTCAACATGGAATCTTCAAATATATAGTAAATATTGATAATGATATGATGTATGAAAGAAACAGAAGATAGTTACTGGGAACTAATAAGCTTTCTTTTTTTGAGAGCATTGATATCCTCAGCACCGATCCCCTGTGGTTCCATTGGTTCATTAGTTGTAAAATGAACGAGTGAAGATACTAAAACACCAATTGTGTAAAGATGAATCATTTAGTTAATGAAGTTACAAGAGGAACATTGATAAGCACTGATACAAAACATTGGTAAACATAGATAAGTCAATAAAGTTACAACAAAGATATTAATCCCCATTAATAGTGTTGCGTATCAACGCCACTTGGATCACAATCAGCAGCATTTTTTAATGAGTTTGAGTAAAATTTGTTATAATGGAATTCACAGTGCAACAAAAACTACATGTTTTTCTCTTTTCTTTAAAGCTGCTTCGGATAGGTACAGTAGCTGATTGTAATTTGCATTTAAGCAAACAAAGCATACACGCCATAAAAAAAGTGTTCATTTGCCATTCAAAATATATTTCATACCTCACCACTCTGGATTTGTATAAGCAAGTCTTTTACGCGGTCATCAACATGATCGACCTATATCAAAGCACTTTAATTTAGTTAATAAAGCTATATGGCTACAATTTGACAAATGTTCAAACAAGGACCAAATTTGGAGACAGTACTTATCTATATAAGCTTCTTGTTGAACTACCTCCAACATGTAGTATATCTTTGAACCAAAATTATAACATAGCAAGATAAGAGGCCACGGGCTTACAGAGCATTGCATTTTAAACTGATAACCAAGCAACAAATAGCTTGGCAACATTATTTTAGAAATTCTTTCTATAAGAAAATCCGATAAATAGAAATTGCAGCCTTAAAAGCATCTACAGAGCTAAGTTTAATCCGCGTTACCTTTCTCAAAACTTGCGACTTCCCCATTTCTATCCATTTATTCTTTATGGCCTGTGTGCTACCTATTTTGTAAATAGCTGACTTCAACTTTTCCTGTGCACAAAAAATTTGAAATAACCGGTATGTTATCCAAATAAGATTTAGCCAAAAAATAAAGAAGTAATCAATGATTAGGCCCAGAGAAGATATAATTAAATCAGTGACAGTTCTAGAGAACAATAAGCAGTTTGTGTCTTTGAAAAAATAAGAGCCCAAACAATAATAAAGCTAAATGCATTCAGTAGAACCAAGCAAGTAGTCCTTCAGGCACTTCATTTTCAACCACATGAACGGACACTGAGCAAATTGTAGACAAACATATTCTTTCTTTCCTTTGGCAATTCATTGATAAGAGACGAGGAAAAATGAACATTTATTGAACTATGTTAATCAGCCACCTGTGACCCGACTAACGAAAAGAGAAGCCAAGACAAATATATATATAGACAGACAAAAGGAATAAGAAGAAGAACAAGAAACTGCAGCGACTTACATCAATATCATTCGGCAATCGTGATGCGAAAGTTTTCTGCAGAAATACAACAACTCTATAAGACATCCCATTCATTAATAAACTAATTTTAAGCCCTTAGAGGATGCTTGGATACAAAACTATCTCAAAAAAATTGAAACATATTTAACTCAACCTCACTATCATCAATATAATTAAATAATATCGATCAATCATTCTTATACATCACATCAACCTTAACTAGTGTGTAGCCCGTGCGATGCACGGGTAAACAATATTAAATAATAATTATTAATTAACGATGATAGTAAACAATATTAACTAATAATTATAAATTAAATATGAGAGTAAACAATATTAACTAAAAACTATAATTAATTTGTGGAGTTAATATGTGACATAATTTATCGTATGTCAGTTGTAATAATATTAAATTATCTTGTATAAAATAACATAAAAAATGTATGTTTAAAATAGTAAAAACACCTAAAATATTATATAACGTATGTGAAGTATCTAAAATTTTATATATCATTATTGAAAGATGTGAAGTCACCTAAAATATTTCTAAACTATTTTATAAATAAAACATGTAGTCCATGTATCTTCTATTAGTCAGAGCGAGTTATGTTCGCAGACAATTTTGTTCGATTTACAGCTCTAGTCCCCCCCAAAAAAAAATCCCTGATTCTAAAATTTTTATTACCTTTTGAAGTGAGATTTTATAAATATAGAGACTGAGATTTTAATGTTCTTCATTATTTTTATGAAAAAAAATAAAAATGTACACTTAATAGATCTTAGCTGAAATTTTTAAATTATAAAATGAATTAAAGTCCAAAATTTAATGCAACATTTAATGTTGTATGATTTTTTAAAGATAAAAATTAAAAAATAATAAAACTTACTATTTATAGATTGCATTAAATTCTCTCCTATTTTTTTGCTACTATTTTTGTTAAATGTTAATTCTTATTATATATATATAGATTCCCTATTCATCAACTCACACAATTTTAACTAATCATCATATCTTCTCTCTCCCACTTTTACATCAAATTAATTGTAATTATTTTAGGCTCCGTTTGTTTTGAGGGATTTACTGAGGGATTTGAAATCCATAGATTTCAAATTTACAAGTTCAAATGTTCATGCATGTTGGGATGTTGGGATGATAATGGAAGTTGGAGGATTTCAAATTCATGTTAGATGCTTTTTAGTCTAAATGACTCTTCAAACTTAGTCATTTGAAATCCACTGTTGAAGCCCACGCCGTCCGCGATCATTTAGGTTCATCACCACCGCGAGTCAACACTATCGGTGCGAGCTACACAATTTATTTATAATATTTTCAACACATCCATTCAAAAATTTTGAAATCAAGGGATTTCAAATCCCTCAAAACAAACGGAGCCTTATTTTAATATACCCACTAACAACTAACGATACCACATTTTTCAAAGTTAACCGAAAAATCAAAACAAAACCAAAACTTTTTATATCCAAGCGTTAGCTTTTTTAGAAGATTCTCACTGAGTGGGGTGTACCTGATATCAACTTCCTGATACTCGAGTTAAGCCTTGAGTATTTATCGAGCCGAGTTATTAATTAAACGAATGGACAAACAATTATCAATAATGACAATTTGGGATCGAACTTTAATGACGTGATCTTGAACCATAACGAATTGAGTTAGAGAAATTTATATAAATTTCTCAATTTTCAAGAATATACGAGTCTTGACGAACTTAGGTCATAATGAGTCGAGTTAACATAAAATTCTCTATCTTCAAGCATTAACGAATCTCAAAGAATCGAGTCGTAACGAAATGAAGTTTGAGCACATCTTGTTAATCAAACTATCCAATCCCAATTCGAACCTTAACAAACGGGTCTCAAGTGATATTCGTTTTCTTTAGGTGCTCTAGTCTCACTCGCACCCTTTTACATTTTGCTTATGCAAAAAATAATAATAATAAAGTAACAAATCAGTTACTATTTAACTATTTGGGCTGCACATTCAATCCACGGTTTTTAATAGGCCCAACATTTCCACTTCCACTGTCAACATCCCAAACACAGAGCCAACTAACTAAACGCAGTCTTTATGCCATTATAATTTACTCTTCAATCTTGGAGTGACAAGAAGCCACAATTTTCTTGAAGACACGATTAATGACAATTTCCGCTCAATCACCCCATGACTCTTGAAGAGTTAGAAACCCTAAAATCTCCATTTGCGAGTGTACCACCTCCCTGGAGTGCTTTCGGTCACATCACAACATTACCAGCGAAGAAGTTGTAGATCAAGATTTGTTGACAGATTTCTGTTTTGATATCGATGGTACACTTAGTACTACACGGAATATATGCTTACACAAATGGTGAAGGCGCTGATATTTATCCACCAGTGCGTCATACGGGATTACAAAGTCATTATTCTTTCGTTTTCACTGAAGGAAGTGGTCTAACACTGGATATTGGTGGGGTGAAGAACTTGGAAGGTAATGTTATTATATTAATTTAATTTTTAAGTGTTTGTAATTTTGCTTATGCAAAAAATAAAAAGAAAGTAAAAGTCTGTTACTATTTGGGCTGCACATTTCAATCCACGGTTTTCTAACAGCCCAGCACTGTTAATAGCCCCAAACACACAGAGCCTACTAACTAAACGCAGTCTTTAGGCCCATTATAATTTACTCATCTTGAATTGACAAGAAGCCACAATTTCTTGAAGACACGATTAATGACCATTTCCGCTCAATCACCCAATTATTTGACTCTTGAAGAGTTAGAAACCCTAAAATCTCCATCTGCGAATGTACCACCTCCATTGAGTGCTTTCGGTCACATCCCAACATTATCAGCGAAGAAGTTGTAGATCAAGATTTGTTGACAGACTTCCGTTTTGACATCGATGGTACACTTAGTACTACACGGAATATGCTTACACAAATGGTGAAGGCGCTGATGTTTATCCATCAGTGCGGATATTGTCGAACGGGATTACAAAGTCATTATTCTTTCGTTTTCACTGAAGCAAGTGGTCTGTTAGAGCTGGATATTGGTGAGGTGAAGAACTTGAAGGTAAGGTTTTTTCACCTCACCAATATCCAGCTCTAACAGACCACTTGCTTCAGTGAAAACGAAAGAATAATGACTTTGTAATCCCGTTCGACAATATCCGCACTGGTGGATAAACATCAGCGCCTTCACCATTTGTGTAAGCATATTCCGTGTAGTACTAAGTGTATCATCGATGTCAAAACGGAAGTCTGTCAACAAATCTTGATCTACAACTTCTTCGTTGGTAATGTTGGGATGTGACCGAAAGCACTCAATGGAGGTGGTACATTCGCAGATGGAGATTTTAGGGTTTCTAACTCTTCAATAGTCAAATAATGAGGTGATTGAGCGGAAATGGTTATTAATCGTGTCTTCAAGAAAATTATGGCTTCTTGTCCCTCCAAGATTGAAGAGTAAATTATAATTGGCCTAAAGACTGCGTTTAGTTAGTAGACTCTGTGTTTGGGCTATTGACAGTGAAAATGTTGGGTCTATTAGATAACCGTGGATTGAAATGTGCAAACAGTCAAATAGTAACAGTCTTATTACTTTATTATTATTATTATTATTATTATTATTTTTTTGCATAAGCAAAATTACAAATACTTAAAAATTAAATTACTCTAATAACCTTACCTTCCAAGTTCTTCACCCCACCAATATCCAGCTCTAACAGACTACTTCCTTCAGTGAAATGAAAGAATAATGACTATGTAATCCCGTGTGACAATATATGCAGATAAACATCAGCGCCTTCACCATTTGCGTAAGCATATTCCGTGTAGTACTAAGTGTACCATCGATGTCAAAACGGAAGTCTGTCAACAAATCTTGATCTACAACTTCTTCGCTGGTAATGTTGGAATGTGACCGAAAGCACTCTATGCATAGATGGACACTCGCAGATGGAGATTTTGGGGTTTCTAACTCTTCAAGTGTCAAATAATGGGGTGATTGAGCGGTAATGGTCATTAATCGTGTATTCAAGAAAATTGTGGCTTCTTGTCACTCCAAGATTGAATAGTAAATTATAAAGGACCTAAAGACTGCGTTTAGTTAATACGCTCTGTGTTTGGGCTATTGATAGTGGAAATGCTGGGCCTATTAGAAAACTGTGGATTGAAATGTGCAACCCAAACAGTCAAATAGTAACAGACTTATTACTTTATTATTATTATTTTTTTTTCTGCAAAATGTAAAAGGAAGCGAGTGAGACTAGAGCATCTAAACAAAACGAGTATCGCTTGAGACCCGTTTGTTAAGGTTCGAATGGGATTGGATAATTTGATTAACAAGATGTGCTCAAACTTCATTTAGTTACGACTCAATTCTTTGAGCATCGGGAAGTTCCGATGGACGCAAACCCTAAAGGGTTGCTAATATACGAGGTTGGTTCCTTCCCTTGTTCTTAATCAGGTGTTCTGTAGCTACACCGAGATACGAAGCTGACTGAGGAAGACTGCGTGAAGCTTAAGAAGACTGACCGAAGCTCAGAAAATTGAAAGAAAATAACATAAATAAGAAAAAAATAATACAATTACGTATATAACGATAAAACGGAATAACAAAAAAATTAGTTATTTTTTTTAATTTTATGAGCTTCGGAGAAGACAATTCGCCGACAGGATCAGACGATAGTCCAATAGAGGATCGTCTGCTAGAAAGAAAGGGGGTACCCGTACGAAGGGGGGAGAAGGGGGGAAGACGATACGCCGAAAAAATTTTATGTTAACTCGACTCATTATGACCTAAGTTCGTCAAGACTCGTAAATTCTTGAAAATGGAGAAATTTCTATAACTCAATTCGTTATGGTTCAAGATCACGTCGTTAAAGTTCGATCCCGAATTGTCATTATTGATAATTGTTTGTTCATTCGTTTAATTAATAACTCGGCTCGATAAATATTCAAGGCTTAACTCGTGTATCAGGAAGTTGATATCAGGTACACCTCAGTCTAAAAAAGCTAACGCTTGGATATAAAAAGTTTTGGTTTTGTTTTGATTTTTCGGTTTGGGTTGGTTAAATTTGAAAATGTGGTATGGTTAGTTATTAGTGGGTATATTAAAATAAAATAATTAAAATTAATTTGATGTAAAAGTGGGAGAGAGAAGATATGATGTGATGATTAGTTAAAATTGTGTGAGTTGATGAATAGGGAATTAAGGTTGATGTGATGTGTAAAAATGATTGATTGATATTATTTAATTATATTGATAATATTGATGATAGTGAAGTTGAGTTATAGGTGAATTGAAAAAAGTTGTTGAGTTAAAATATGTTTGGATTTTTTTGAAATAGTTTTGTATCCAAGCATCCTATTAAAAACTAGATGTGAGTACCTGCAATTCTTCTCGCGTGATACCCTCTGGTGGAACAGCAGAAAAGAGCAGTACTTCAGGAGATCCGTATTTAGAATACAGTTCCCCTTCCTGCGTGAGCACCCATTGTTCCCTCTTAATATCCTGCACAATTTTCGAAAGAGTGCACTTTTTTATAAAGTCACATTGACACCAAAATGTCATAAAATGATACAGCAATCCAATCTCACAAACTGGATTCATATTCGAATCACTTACAGAAAAATGGGCTTTGTATACAACATGCCTACCGACTTTTCCCATTTCTTTCCATCTTACTTCTAATTACACCAGATGCTATTCAAAATTTAACTTTTATCCACCAAATGTTAATGAGAATAGAAACTGACCTGGGCATCAACAAGACGAAAACCGTTGAGGCTTTTCACGATGTTCACAATCTCATCGTGGCTGATTCCTTTCTCCTCCGCAAACTTTCCAGAATCTGATATCTCCTCATTCTTTTCAAGAAACCCCAACACAGCTTCCTCAGCCATTGATTATCGACAGATCAAACGGTGGCAGCAGCCTACGGGAATTACAGCAAAGTTATGATATACGGAAGAAAAAAAAAATCGAATATACAAATATAAGCAATGCCGATAAATTCCGAATTTAACTATCCTCTGAACTGAAAGTAAAATCCCCAAATCAAAGGTAATTCAGAATTTGAAAGTTTTAACTCAAAAGCACTAAAATTCAAAGTGAACTTTTCCCATTTTCCAAAATTCGATCCATAACCACACCTACATTAGCTCATCAACTCAAAAGACAATGAAAGCAGCAAAAAGATACAAACTTTAGTCAAAAAAGAGTTGCACAACCATCAAATTTCCTCAGGGCAATCGGATTTACAACTTATGATTCCTGATTGGGCTCAATTTAGATGCTGTTTAAAAGCGCAAACATAAATGCAGTTATGGGGATTCAAATTTCGGCATCAGAAGAGAAAATTGAGTGTAGATAAGCGGATTCTAACCAGTTAACCAATTGAGCCTTGAGCTGATTGTGGCCGCCGGTGTGCTGCAAAGTGTTTGGACTTCGGATGTAAATCACCAATTAGGGCAGCTGATATTGAGAGCTTCTTTTTTCGTGTTTTCAACTCTCTTCCCTTTTGTTTTTCACACAAATGCTTTTCTTATTTTTTAAAATATTTTATTTAATATGAAAATGTATGTTTGTATAATTAATAGGCAGGCTAAAAACAGTAATATTGTTTGCATCCTCTATTACATGTTGATATGATTTAATCATAATATCACCTGGTACAATAATTATTATCTTTCTTTTTTATTTTTTTATTGTTGTGTAAAATGTTTTTCATTTGATATGTGTATAATGTATCATATCAATCATTTATATTCCACTTGGACTTAGTCATGTGTATATCATACCTACAAATTTAAACAACAAATCAACAGTTGATAAACAGTGAAATTTTTGTATATTATAAATGTTAAAAAAAAAAATTAATGTAGATAGATGGAATATTTTTCACTATTATATTGCGTGGAATTGGCAAATGGGTTGGTTTGGGCCAGCACAAATTTCCATCTCTTGCAACTCGTCAGTGATATTCTATTTACATACATATTATACTGTTTTTATTTTTTTTTTAAACACGTTCAAAATAAAACCAATAATACATTAACTATAAGAGTTAATAGATTTATAATTAAAATAAAAAAAAATTCGTATATACAAATAAAATGGTATTTGAAGGTAAATGATATAATTTTCTCATACTAACTCATGCAAGTTTTGACCCATTTTATCGGGTCATGTTATTTTCGAACCCATATCATATCAATTACAAATTTTTAACTCCAATAACTTCAAATTCAATAGAGGTGCACGAATCACAATAAATTGAACATATTCCATTCTCACCATTGCTGAGTCCGCAAGCAAAAAATAGCGCTATTAAAACCAGCTTTGGTTAAAAAGAGAGATGAATAAAGAAAAAATAAAAAAGAACAGTCACATGTTACAAAAAAAAAAAGACACCAAACAAGTTTTCCTCAGGTGACCTCACACAATTGTGTTTCTTAATAAAAGAAACATTCATTATGCAACAAGCCAGAATATTTCAGTTAATCGCCTCCTCAGTTTACAAGGTTGCCAGAAGCAAAATGTACCAAGAAACAGAACACAAAAGGCTCATGAAATAAGTATATTCGTTTATTCTTCAAACAAAAAATATTCGAAAAGATGAACCATGTGTTTTTGTGTATCTCAACGATATAAGCTTTCGGAACGAAGATTCTCAGCAATCTCCGTTTCCCAGCGGTCACCATTTTCTAGTAGCTTCTCCTTGTCGTATAGAAGTTCCTGCAAAAAAATAAAAAATAAAACATTTTTCATTATTATTACTATTATTATTATTTTAGGCTCTCCATAGATGGCAAAGGAAAAAAGTAGCACCAACCTCATGTGTTTCAGTAGCAAATTCAAAGTTAGGTCCTTCAACAATAGCATCGACTGGGCACGCTTCTTGGCAGAAGCCACAGTAAATGCATTTAGTCATGTCAATATCATACCTACAAATTTTAACATACCGGTAAAAAAATGCAGTGTGAGTAGAAAATAATAAAAAGGAGAGTAAGGCAAAAAAACATATTCATTTACCTTGTTGTTCGCCTGCTCCCATCTTCCCGTGCCTCGGCTTCAATAGTAATGGCTTGGGCAGGGCAAATCTGCGAATGACATCAAAATCGAATTATGCTCATTGAAAAGGATACAAGTATGAAAAGCTGCACGAATGAATGAACAACCAAGCAACATAACAGGAAAATAAAATTAAAAAAAAAAAAATCCTTTAGTAGTAGACTAGAAATCAGGTTCTACGAGCAGCACCAAATGGATAAAGTAAGTAGTTATACATGCTGTCATGTATAACTTATGGAAAAACGAATAGTTATACAAGGCTCATGCATGATTTTAGCAGCAGCTTTTTCCGAAAATGTGAAAAGTTATACTTTAAGAACTTACAGCTTCACAGAGTTTGCAAGCAATACAACGTTCCTCTCCAGTGGGGTAACGTCTAAGAGCATGTTCTCCACGAAAGCGCGGGCTCAGAGGACCCTTCTCAAAGGGATAGTTAATCTGAAAACAAATGAAAACAATGGATTTTCATGGGTAAAAATAAAAACCATCCCGTCCACCTCTTACAGAAAAACAAAAGCATGTACCGAAAAGAAAAGGCGAAGGACAAAATGAAACAGAAGTTTCAATTTTTCTTTTCAGCGAAAAAAAAAAAGAGAGAGAGAGAGACTTGATTTACTTTCTCAATTTTAGGGGATAACTGCTATTGAGTGCGTTTGATATTTATTAAATAAGAAAAAAGTAAAGAAATATCTTGGGAAGAAGAAAAATATAAGACGGGTCAAACCTCAAACAAATTATTTTGCAGCTTTAAAGTTTCTCTGGAATTTTGTATTCGGGGATTTTATTTTTTTGAGCAATTATCTCTAAGAAAGACATGAAGATTAGAAGATAGCCACTCACAGTAACTTTAGGCTCGAAGAAGTACTTGAGTGTCAACATAAGACCCCGGACCATTTCAGTGAGGAATAAAGTATTGATGCTCCGTTCAAAAACTAAAAGGCAGTAACAAATGGAGGATGAGTTTCAACGTTGAAGAAAAAACAGAGAAGAGTTGGGTTCTATTGTAAAAGAACAAATCGGGAAATTCTTTTACCCGAACTCCAATCTTTTGATATCTCCCTTGCAAGCTTTTCTCTTTCTTCATCATCTACAAGTAATCAAGGACCATGTTATTACCTATACAAGGAAGGTTAAAATCCTAGAAATATCTTCAATATCTTAAATATGCAACCATATTTGTCTTGGTACACATATAAAATGCAACCATAATGCCCATCTATTTATTTGAACCATAATGTCTAGGAAATGTCGAGCATGGTCAATTTTGACGAGATCAAGACAAATACAACAGCAAAGAGAGGAAATTCAAAATTTCTAAAACACGATCAACCCTTTACGGTTTTCCACAAAAAGATCAAAATAGTCAGTAGTGCAATAAAGCTTCCCAAAAAGAAGATAAATACAACCTCCCATTGGCCAATCCATACATATTATGTTCCAGAAATCATACAAAGTTACAAACTGTGATCTCTAACATGCAAACTTGTACAAGTGGCAGATACCCAAGAAATACAGCAAAACTCACCATTTCTACTAATACAATATTAAAACTCACAACTAAACTAGTATATCTTCCGGTCCCTTGAATCAGACAGTTAGAAGATGCGAAATCCCAAGAGCATGTGACAAACCTTTGTCGGTAGAAAATGAATGTTTCGTGGCAAACGTGCGCTCACAGCGTATCATCCCACCACGAGCAGGATCCCACATAGCTTGCCTTGCCAGAGCCTATAACACACAGACACACACACACACACACACGGGAAAGAAAGGAAATTACAAAAGCATGACTGAACATAAACTTTGATATCCACTAGACCACCACATAATCCATGAAAGAAAACAAAATTGTAGCATTTTCATCTTGTATAAATCAAAGCGAGGGTTTCAAACAGTGTTCATCGGATATATATTGCAAAATGACACAATCCAGCAAGTACGAATTAAAAAAATCGATAAGGTTATTTGGTTGAAACAATGAATGAATCAAACAACAGTGCTAACCCTCGTAGCCAAATTAGATCCAATTTGTCCAAACTCCAAACACAGATAATCGCAAAATAGCATAACAATTCCAAAAAAACCTTTGGTACAAAACTGAACTACTGAATTGGGGTTTTCCAATCACGAAAAGATCCCCAAAATACGTAAAACTGAAATTGAAGGGAGGAAAAAGGCCATTGATTATGAAAATTTCACAAAAAATAAAAAAGGTATTGATAAGATGAATAGGTTAACTCTTACGAGCTGGCGAACGCGAAGGGCAGAGAGGGATTTGCGAGCTAAGATGGCAGCCATTTTCGATATTCGCAGTTGCAGAGACGGTGAGCTCCCAGCAGCAGCTGAATTCGTAAATTGAAAATGGAAATACAAAAACGTTTTTTTGGTCCTTTGTCGTCCCCGCTAGAAAGTCGTGATTTAGATGCTCAAGGCGAAGGTAGTGTTTTTCCGACCCGGCCCAGAACCCAAGTGTTCTATAAATAGGCATTTTAACGGCCCGAACTGCCCCGTTCAGGCCCGTTGACCATGGGCCTGGCCCGTTGACTCCAGGCCTTGAAAACCTAAGCTGGTTCAGGTTCATGACTTTTCACAATTTGAACCGTTGATTCTGGAACTATAACCGCAATTTGGTGATTTTTTTTTTCAATTTATTACTATTATTATTTTTTTATTAATTTATTGGTTCGGTCAGGAACTGGCAGGCCCATTCTAAATTGGAGTTACTGGTTCATTTGATCGAACCGTATATATTAATGGGCCGGTTTAGGTTCATAAAAAAATTAGACCATAACCGAAAAATAGCAATGTCTATCCATAAATACTAATGTATTATAGCTTGTTTTGACTATTGTTCGAAGGCTGTTAAAATGTACTACTATAGAATTTGTGTTTCACTATCGCATTTTTATATTACTCGTTCAGATTAGCAGATTTAGCGGATTGAACTTCATCTAAAGATTTGACCCTAAAAACATGAGTATGGAACGTATAGTGCGATCAATTGTGTTAGAACATGAAATTGCTGTATATTTTCAAACTATGTTACTACACCAGAAAAGAATAATTGCGGAAGCACAAAACAAGAGATAAAAACTCGAGCTTATTTAAAGCTCGTTCGAGTTCGGCTGGATAAGAGAATTTTTATACAATATTTTATAGTTCGACTCGTTAAAGTTCGAGATCGGCTTGTTAAGGCTCGAGCTCGAAACTTTAACGAACTGTGCTCGAGCTCAATTTCTAACTCGTTTATTTAACAAGCCAAGCTCGACTCAGCTCGTTAAGGGCTCAAGCTTGAGCTCGAGCACCCTAAACTCGAGGTCGACTCGTTTACAAGCGTAACCACGATTAATCATAAAGTTTTCTTCATCGTAAAAATTATCACCAAAAAAAGGTCCCAAAACCCAGTTTTTTCCCACCAAAACTAGTTATAATCAACACTATAAACTATAAAGCCATTCTCTCACGAGCTTCATTCTAACCGGTTCATATCATTATACAGACAAGTGTATGAAAAAAAGGCAGAAAAAAATACATAACTTTTGGAAAAATTTTGAAACATCCAAACTCCAAGCATTTGTTTGCTGCAATTGAACCAAAGGTATGTGCAGTGACGGATCTAGGAACTTTACTCAGGGGGGTCTAATTTTTAATGTTAAATAACGAGCTTGTAGTTTAAGTCGAAACGTTCATTTCATATAAAAATGTATTTACTATAAATATAAATATCTACATGTTTACCATCAAGTATTTAAAAACTTAGTATCCGTATCACCTTCAAACTTTTAAAAAAGTAAAAAAAAATATTTGAAATTTTATGTATTTATAATTTAAGTTCAACATCTATAAATATAAATTTTCTGGTTGCAAAATTGATCTAAATTGAAATTTCGAAGCACATCGTAATATTTTTGTTGATCAGAGCTTATCAAATAAATATTTTTTAAGAAAATAAATAAAATTAAAAATGTGTGATTACATAAAAAAAAAGGAAAAAATCAATATTAAAAAAAGTAACAATCCAATTAAATACTCGATTTTATAAATAATAAAACCAATTTACAATTAAGAGACCGAAAGAGTAAATCATTATAAATAATTTCAAAAACTTATTTAGAAATGTAAAATATAATTATTATTAGTACGTTTTTCATTAAATAAATAAATAATATTATTATTTAATTAAAATAGTATATAAATTAAGTTTTAATTATTAATATATTGTACACATTTTTAGCATATCTATACATATTTTAAAGAATTATATCTATATATATATATATATATATATTGATTTTTTTTTTAAAAATGAGGGGATCCATGGCCCCTGAGCCCAATGTGGCTCCGTCACTGGGTATGTGGGCTATAAACACCCACACACACAAAAAAAATCTATATATATAAAGAGGTTGTTGGAAAAATACATTAATAGAAAGTTTGACCAAATAAATATAATGTTTGACTTACTATTAATGGAAAGTTCAAAAAAACACATGTGAATCTGTAATAACAAAATCTAAATCCTATTTTTTTGGTAACAAATTTGAAGATTTTTATGGCAAAATTTGAATCCCATTTTTTTCGTATCATATTTTAATTTTTTTACCAAAATTTAAATCATATCTTATTTTTAGCAAATTTGGAGATTCTTATGCAAAAAATATGTCAATTATTTACGAAAAAAATTCTAAATACAAATTAATTTAAAAATCGTGTAAATTAGATACAAATTTAGAAAGCAAATAATTGTATAATTCTTAACCAATTCTTTCAATCTTATTCAATAATTTTTTTTCAAAAAAAGTGTGTAAATTGGATAAAGCCACTTGCAATTTTTATTTTAAAATAAAACTGATATTTAGATGGGATGTACATTCAAAATTGTGTCCACATTTTTTGGTAACAAAACCGGATCATCATTGATATTTAAAGTCCCCTCATCCAATTATTTAAGAAAAATTATGTGCAACTTTTCAAAATTTAAATGCAGCGATATTTTAGATTTTTATATTTTTTCTTAAATATGTTTTACCGAGATTTTGGTAAGTTCATATCAATTTTTTTTTTGGTTAAGTTCATATCATTTTCTTTAGGAAAGAGACAGTTGCATAAACATTAACAATTTATTTTAATTTTTTATTATAATTATTTTCAATTCAATTTGCTTGGTACAAAAATCGTTGCAATGTTAGGAAAATTCGGTTGCATTTTTAGGAAAAATTGATGATTCTTTTATTTGGTTTAAAAAAAATTCAGTTATATTTGTTTGATAAAAAAATCGGTTTATTGGTAGAAAAATCGGTTTCATTTCCAGGAGTAACTAATGATTGTTTTCAATTTTTCTTAATTGAAATTTAGAATTAGATTTAAAATAAATAATGGGTGAAAATCCCTAAAAAATTCTACTTTTTTTTCTATTTTAATTTTGTTTAATAAATAAGATCTTTTATTTTTTTTTTTAAATTTGTTAACTAATAACTTATAATATGAAATTTTGGATAAATTCGAACACATATGTAGTACTTTACGTGCTAAAGAATCAAATCAATCATGTTGTATATAAGGAAGTGTTTAATAACATATAAATTTCATGAAATTTTTAATGGCATGAGACAATTTAAATACATAAATACTTTTTAAAAAATAAATAAGTAATAAATGCTCCCGTGCATCGTACGGGTAACGTACTAGTAAAAAGAATAAAAAACAAATAAAACAAACAAAAAAAACGTAAATCTTCTGAGAGTGTCCAGCCCAAAATGAAAGATTGAGCTCTTTTAAGTGAGCCCAGGACCAACTGGACAAAGCAGAATATATGCAAAACGGGCTTCGAATCGCCTTTTCACCCGTGCAACTCACGCAGTTTGTTGTTGTTTATCAGGTGACAGCGCTGCCCAGCCGCCACGTGTAATCCCCTCCATAAAAACAAAAAATAAAAAATAAAATAGAATAATTGACCAACATTTCCAGTTGGACCTAAATTTGCACCTTTCGGCTGAAAAAACGGAAAAAAGAGGTTATCAGAAAAAATACCCCCAAAAATACACCAACACACACTAGATCTGTTCTATCTATTGCGCGGCCATGGATGAGAGTTTGGTGAAGAGGTTGGAAGCCGCGGTGGCTCGCCTGGAGACGCTCTCCGCCGGGGGAATCCCGCGGAGTTTCGCGTCGGAGGACGGCGGCGATGCGTTCGGGGCGGATCCGTCGATCGTGGCGTTCGACGATCTGATTTCCCAGCACGTCAATCGAGTCACGAGCGCCGCGGAGAAGATCGGGGGACAAGTTCTGGACGTGTCTAAGGTCATCGCTGAAGCTTTTGATGTGCAGAAGGAGCTTCTGATCAAAATCAAGCAAACTCAGGTCGGTTTGCTTCTTCTCTTGTGCTGTGGCTGTGGCCTGTGTGAGACTGTTTGGTGTGAATGAGATGATTAAGATTGTTCGAAAACGGTCTAGCATTGTGAATGGAATGTAGCACTGCGTTGATGTTGTATGAATTCTTTATGATTCTGTATGAATTGAAGTGTGTGCCATGTCCTTTTTACAGTGATTATGGATAAAATGATGATTGCTTGTGTGAAGTTCTGATGGATAATGTTGAATTTGTACGGCTAAGGCTGAATTTATCCTTTTGGTGAAAAAATATATTCGAAGGGGACGTGAATGAGGTGGGGCCGCTGGCATCTCTGTTTGGGTGGGGAATTCAAACTAACGGGTTGTTTTATGACTCTGATCTCAGTTCCTGAGTCGTTTGGTTGATGTGTTCCGATTAAACTAGTTATGAATTTCATTGCATGAGTCTGGACTTATCTAATAGTAGGTGACTAGGTTCCTTGATTGTATGTGAAAACTAGTTGTTGGGGGATTGTTACATTCTTGATTTATTCTTGTATCTTGTAGTACATT